GCACTCGTTATCGAGGTCATCCCGAGGGTCACGCGACGAACCTGTCCTTCCTATTTCTTCGCACCGAACCACTCCCGAGTCGCCTCCGCACCAATCGCAACCATCACCGAGCCATCCTCGCCCAACCTCTCCGCCTAGCTAGGACTTCCCCTATTTAGGCCTCGTCACTTCCATTGTATGGTCATTCAGTAATCAGTTCATTCTCGTTATTCGATATTCTGCGCACTCTGCAAGTTCATTCATAACACCTGGTATCAGAGCTACTTTCCTAGCCTACCCCGCTTTTTAGAGTGTAATATTCCTCGGGGGGGGGGGGACGAGGAAGGATGTCTTGGGGTCCAGGAGTTGCGTAGGCCGGCAAGGAGAACTAGTTAGTTGCTCCTCGCGGCTATGTTTTTACGGGTACTCCTTCGGCACCGCCAGATCCTTGCCTCGAACGGTCGCGATCGACCGTGGCCTCCCTCCCCCCAGGCAACGGACAGCTGTAGCTGTCGCGACATTAAAAGTGAGTTACTATTCCGCTGCGGTTTTAACGACGGTTTCGGAATTTTGTGAGGCAGTTGGCGTCAGCGGACCTGCGTCGGCACATGCACGAAATTTTCGGAAGTCGTCACGATGAGTGGCCGTTGACGACGTTGGACCTGAGTCAACAATTGCGCGACAACTTCGGAGTCGTCCCATGCGGCAAGTGACAACGGTGGCTCGTCGTCATTTTGCGCGCGTGACTCACGGAGTGTGGCTCAGCAGCTGGCGACAACGGACGTGCATCACTGTGGCGATATTTTCGGAGCGACTGTGAAGAAATTTCGGCTGGGGAACTCGCCAGGCGCAAAAGGAGTTTGCGTCCGAAAATGTCGGTGGCGAGGAGAGACGACACAAGACTGCCCGACTTGGCGGGAGTCAACAGCCGTCCCGCCCGACCTGTTAAGTGCGGCGGCTTTTACTGCATTGGCGGGCGCGTCATCAGCAATTTCGGCAGGAGTGCTCGTGGACAGACGGGACTTCATACCGCTGACACTTACGGGCTGCAACGGAAAACGCGGTGGCTAAATCGCACTTGCGGGAAGTGGGACGCAGGCGACCAGGGAAATCAGGGCAGGTACACCTCGAATCAACTCGGCGACACTGCGTGCCTGGTGTTGTTGCAAGCTGGCTGGCAGTATCGAGAGCGGTTTCTCCTGACCAGGGAATTCGTTTTCGGGGATAGCTCCTGACAGCCCACGATTAAACGGTGTCCAAGGTACCGCCCGACAATTTCGGAGGAGTCGGTACAGGCTGCCGGGACACACGGGCAGAAACGGTCCAACGGCTAAGCGAGGGTTGAAGAACGTCGTGGGGAGCAGATTAAAAGCTGGAGGAATCGATCTGCGGCCCTACTTCGCCCGAACCTCACCATCCCCACCAAGTCCTAGTTCTGACTCATGCAGTCAACTTACTTGGCCGAAAAATGGGGGTGAACACGTGCCTACCCTGTGCTGGTTAAAGGCACCTGGATTGGTGCTCGTTCGACAGCTGTACAGAAAATACAAAAAAAGTGGAGTTCGCGGCACTGTTCTACTCCGACAAAAGCGGGCTGGGTGAGCGGCACGCGAAAAAGTCGGGGAGCTGCGAGGATAACATCGGTGCAGTTTACAGGTTTCTTCTGACCCGGACGTCTACACACGAGGTGACGGCGCAGCTGCGAAGCTGAGACCGGAAAGCTGTGAAATTTTAGTGGTGTGATGGGCACGGCGGGCTGCAAAACGGTCTACATTCCAACCTGTTCAAAATATTGTCAAAGACATTTCAGCCGTCGGATTCAGCTGAAGAGGAGATCGACGGCATCCTTGCTAGTGCTGGGTCTGTTTTCAGTACAAGACTGCCTTATTTAGAAGGTGGGAGAGTGTAAGGATTTATAAATCCTTACTGAGGCACTCGTTATCTAGGTCATCCCGAGGGTCACGCGACGAACCTGTCCTTCCTATTTCGTCGCACCGAACCACTCCCGAGCCTCCACACCAATCGCAACCATCGCCGAGCCATCCTCGCCCAGCCTCTCCGCCTAGCTAGGACCTCCCCTATTTAGGCCTCGTCACTTCCATTGTATGGTCATTCAGTAATTCAGTAATTAGTTCATTCTCGTTATTCGATATTCTGCGTTCTCTGCAAGTTCATTCATAACATAGAATCTAGATGCTTATGATTCATATTACATGTAGCATAATTTCAGAAATCTTCCAAGATAGGCTTTCATAAATGAAACTGCACCGTATGGCAGGGCCTGTGCTAGGATTTAGGGAACCCTGAGCCCTCAGGGTAACTGTTGAAAAATCTCCAGAATGCCCTGATTTTTCAGGGCGCAATTTCATGTCCAACCTGAAATTTCAAGACACCAGCAGAAATTCATCTGGATGATTCAGGGCAAAAAATACAAGGCACTAGAGAGGATGGAGGGGAAGGCACGAAAGGAGCAGGTAGTTCACTGGTTTCACTTCTACTGGCTGAGCAAAAAATTGGTGGGGGAGGGGTGGGGACAAAACAAGCACACACTCCCTCCAGCCTTCTTCCTCCCCTCTCCCCCTCTCCCCCTCCCCTCCTCCACCCCTTCTCCCCTTCCCATGAGTCAGGGCATCCTCTACATTCACCCTAACGCTTCAGGACAAAGTTTCACTGTGATCTGAAATTTCAGGGCAAAACACATGGATCATCCTAACGTCACAAGGTAAATTCCAGCATCACTCTGAAATTCCAGGGCAAACTCGAAACACCATCCTGAAATCAGGATAATCAGGATGTTTTGCCCTGATATCGTGGGCCCTGACCGTATGCATTATCGAGCATCTTTTTAACTATGGAACATTTTCGTGCTCATCACCACTGAACACCAAAACCATCTCTTGTGCTGCCTGTCCAGAACCATTTTTCGACAGCGCAACGGCCTGCTCGCCAGCATCCCGAGCTCATTTTTGCTCCCTCAGGAGTATCCATGTTACGCGAGAGCATAATCGCTGTCAATGGGGATCTTCGCCTTGTTGAGATTGTATGTGTTTCTTTTAAAAAGAAAATGCACTGGGACTTCAACGAAGTTTTACTGCCTATGCATTTTGCATCGGCAGGAAATCAAGAAGGGCCAGTCTGAGCTGGAGGTCTTGCGTTCAGCGTTAGCGTCCGCTGAGTACAGGAGAGAAGCAGCGGAACAGCGTGAGCTGATGTTGCAGAATGGTAAGCGCGACTGGGTTGTTTCTCTGATTGGCTGCTTTCCTTTATTCTTTTTCTGACATTTTTTAATTCGGCAGAAGTGGAAAGGTTGCGCTCTCTTCGACAAGCTGAACTTGAGATTATTCAGCAACAGGTTAGTTGTTGCCTTACAGGGTCCGTAGCCTTCCCGCTGCGACTTCAATCACAATGTCTTTCATACGTCCAGTTCCACTTTCGCAAACTGTATGAAGAAGCTGAGGATCGGTTAAAAAACCAGCAGAAGGAATACGACCTGAAGATGGAGGTACGCATTCCTCTTCGTGACATATATCTTGTTGTTTAACACGTCTTATCTCCGGAATCTATGTTCAGGAGTTGAAAGGCGTGCTTAGCACTTTCGATGACAGGGCAGCGCAAGCCAAAACCGTGGCTGAAAATCGAGTATTGTAAGGAAAAGTTTGTTGCACGTTCCACTTTCAACATAGGTGTTCACGCGGCAGTTTTTTCAGGAGCCTGGAAAAGGAGCTTTCCGAGGCATGGGCGATGGTGGTGACTCTTGAGGACAGGTTGGAGCAGCAGAACAGTGAAGGCGAGCATGGAAAGAGACAAATGAAGGAGTTAGCATTCTCACAAAGGGTGAAGTGTAAGTTCACTTTGGGTGGCATTGTTGACTGTTCAGACGCAGCCTGCTGATCAAGGTTTGTTGCAGATGAGAGTGAGCTGGCGACTCTGAGAAACCAGCTTCACGACGAAGAGGCCCGACGGAAGTCTTTGGAAAAGTCTCTCTCAATGGCTGAATACAAATGTAAGTTACCTTGGCCGTTTTCTTCCCTTTGATGGCATGTGGGATACATGAGCGACAGCGTAACTGTGTGCAGGCTCACTTGCTGAGAATCAGCTGCAAGAACAGATGAAAGAATTTAGGCAGAAGATGGAGGAACAAATTCGTGAAGCAGTGCCAAACAGGCATGCTGATGCCATTAAGCAGAGAATGATGAAGATGCGGAAGGAGAATGATGAGCTTCGTCGGCAGCTCCAAGCTTACTTGGGCAGATGATACAATGACAAAGCTGGGTGCTGTGGATCGAGAATTCACACCAACCGTAGGTTCTTAACTTTATGACACAATGGTAATTTTGCATAACCTTGATCAAACAATTTTGGCTGGAAAGGAAGGCACCAGTGCAGGTTTAATTTGCCAGTGCTCACCTTTTTCAATATTATTTACAATCCTCAAGAATTTTGTAGCACAAATTTGGAAGTGTATCGATACCGCATTGAGTTCGCAGTTCGGATTAGCTGCCAAGTCAGCGGGGCCCGTTCCCTGCATTGCAGGGAGGTACAACACGATTCCGTAGCTTTCTAAACGGTTAGAGAAGGCATCCAGTGACGGAAATTTGTGTTCGTGTACCTCACACCAACTGGGAGCTTTCAATTTTATCATGGCTGCCATGGCTGTCTTGGTGCCTTCAGCGGAGACAGCTAAATGGCAGCTGCTCTCTTCGCTGGACAACCATCGCATTTGCCTCCGCAAGGCGTGCTCTCGCCGCTCGACTTCATCCAACATTCTCACCCGTTTTACACCAAAACATGCCCGTTTCCAGCCAATCCGCAGTGGTTTCGCGAAGGTCGTGGTGGTTGCTCGAGCGTCGCGTAAGGCGCCGAGTCTGCCCCAAAATGTACCTTCGCACGTTGATGGTTCCAACTCGCTTTACTCCAACATTCTTTCGTCACAGAATGCACTCCTTGCCATCCCATCGTCAGCAACCGTCGATTCTCGCGAAACCACAGGCTCGCCGCTCTGCGAATCCGTGGCCAACCTCATGCGACAATCTGCGAATGTCGCTGCTTCCGTCCTTTTCACAGCGGCTTCAGTCGTCACCCTCCTGTCCTTTCCTTTGGACGCTTCTGCAGCAGCAGAAGCGCCAGCTGATCTTGCAGCAATATCATCATCCGCTTCTTTAGTGTCTCTTTCCCCAGGCGCTATGACGTGGGACAGCCAGCAAACCCTAGCCCTGTCATACTCAGGACCACTCGCTCGAATCGCGGATATTACAGCTGCGGTTGAAACTGCACCAAATACTGCCTTTCCTGCTGGTCAATCAGCAATTGACAACATGGCAGCAGCGGGTCCCGTGATTGACGGAGCGCAGCTTCTGGGCGGCGGGAAACGGGAGGCGATGATTCGTCAGCTGGAGAGTCTGGAGAGGGAGTATGGATGGCGTATGCGTGTGCTGACTCGGTATGCGCCTGAGCAGTTCGAGACAGAGGCCCTACGTGCAGTGTGGCAGGTAAGGGAGGCGGGGTGAGAAGCCCTGAAAGGGAAGGTGGGTAGTGTGCGAGCGAGTGCTGGTTGGGTATGCGCCTGAGCAGTTCAAAACAGAGGCCCTACGTGCAGTGTGGCAGGTAAGGTAGGCGGGGTGAGAAGCCCGGAGATTGAAGGTGGGTAGTGTGCGAGCGAGTGCTGGTTGGGTATGTGTCCGAGCAGTGTAGATTGAAACAGAGGGCCTACGTGCAGTGTGGCATGTAAATAGGCGAATCAAAAAAGCTTCATTTGGGCCATGTCTCCCATGCATGTATGCATCTTCTGAGTTTCCACTCTTTCTTTCTCGGCACCTGTGTGATATGGCTCGTCTCATCCCTGTCAGCCTGATTACCTGACAGTAGTGGTGATAGGCATGCATTGCCCAACATTTCATGCACCTCTCATGAGTTTCCTCCCCTTTCTTTTCCTCTCCAACCCCTACACAAACGCTGTGGCTCCTCGCATCCCTCGCAGCCCAACGACCGAACCGTGTTGGTGGTGGGCGTGCATAACCCAACATTCCATGCGCCTCTCATGCATTCTCATGTGTCTCCACTCATTTCTTTTCCTCCCCAACACTGCATGTATGATGTGTGTCATCCCATCCCTTTCAGCCCGACTAGTGGTGGTGGTGGATATCACATCGCCCAGCATCCTCAACTCACCCTTTATTCCCACCTATCTTACCATGTGCGCTTCTTGTTTGTTTGTTTGTTTGTTTGTCTGTCTGTCTGTCTGTCTGTCGCATATCAGCCCGACGACCGCACAGTCGTGGTGGTGGCGGACGTCACATCACCCAACATCCTCAACTTCTTTGCAGGAGACACTGTCAGGGAGAAGCTTCCCCGACAGTTCTTCATCGAGCTACAATCCCGGTACACCTCTCTAGTCGCCCACCCATATAGGTCTCTACTTCCTCCCACCCGCCCATTACCCCATTACCCCATTCCCCCCACCCACATCCCTTCCTTTTCTCCTCCACCCGTTCTTATTCCCATCCTCGCCCGTGCTTTGTCTCGAAGATGAAAAGCAAAAAGTACATCACACATGCAGCGTCCTTCTCCCCTCTCCCTGCTCCCCCTTTCCCCTCTCCACTCTTCGGTCCCCAACCCCAGCTTTGGGAATCAGTTTTATGTGGCAGAGCAGGGCGATACAAGGGCTGTCCAAGACGCCGTTGCCACGCTGCAAACCTGCCTCTTAAAGCCCTCCGGCTGTAACAATGTGCCCGGCCTAGTAGACGACCTTTACTTCATCACTCTCTCCACTGCAATCCTCAGTGGAATAGTTTTCGGATTCGCTGCCCGCTTGGAACCTTCCGGAAAGGTGGAAGCCTCTTGGCAGTGGGTGCTACTTTTCTCCCCGCTGTGGCTGCTGCTGCTTGTGGCTTTTTCGTTTCTGCCCATTACTGCCCGGACGGACGATTTGGAGCCGTTGTTGAAGAATGGGGCGGGTTTTCTTGCTGGGGCAGCTGCGATTTATTTGACTCCGATTTTCGGGCAGTCTCCTGTGGCGAATTGGGGCAAGGGGAAGGAGGATGGGACTCGAAGTGGCACCCAGAGCGGTAGGGATAGTGACTCTGATGGGTTCTAGCTGAATGGGTACTTCATTCACAGTATATTTATTTGAAGGAGGCAGCAATCATATAACACCGTAGCATGAGGTCTTCTTGACACATTCTTTATATCAAAACTTGCTGAATTATTGAGGCTCTGGTGATAGAATGTGAGAGAGTTGACACCTGTCAGGTAGGAGCTTCAAGTGGCGTGTATGTGTCTGCCCAGTAAGACAAGCCATCTTTCTCACTTCTCATTTCTCTACCTCTACACTCCACTAAATGTAGGTATTACAGCACAGACTCAACTACAGCTCGGGCCATCTATAACGAGTAAATTCTAGAAGTCCTGGTCCCGTCTGACACGAACGGCAAGCACTTCCGAGTCCACTTGGAACAAAGTTCCCACAGCCACCACACCAAACCCCACCTCACCCACAGAGACCGATGAAGTGAACGACTCCAGTGTGCCTCAAGACTGAAGGGTACCGGAAATCGTCAGCTTCAGGCTCCAGTAGTGGCACAATCCGTCCCGTGAACGACGGTGTATAGGTTCGCCTCAAAACCTCCGTCGCTCTCCGTCCCGTAGTCCGTGAGAATCTATTTATGAGTATCGACATTTACTTCCAGAGTCGAAATTACTCTAGAGACGTCCCAAAGACATCGTCAGTGCGTCCAGCTAGCCAGAAAACTGACTTAGCCTCGCACGGCCCTACCTTTGGATTCCTGATTCTGCATCTTACGCGAAACCAACTGGACGGTTCCACGCCTTGGGGTTTGGCACGCCGCATTTTCACTGAGAGGCCAAGCAAGAGGCGAAGCGAGAGGCCAAGCCAGCAAGCCGAGTAGGAAAACAAGCATACCTCCACGACATTCCGTTACCTTGGGACTTTCGATACCGCATTTTCACTGATAAGCCGAGCGGCTTATCACGGCTTTGAGTTCCACGTGGCGACATGCCGTACTGCATTGTCCCTGGCCACCATCGCCACAGAGACGAAAGTTCCGCGGAAAACGGCGGATCAGGCGCCGCGGAGAGCGGCGGGAATGGGGACGGAAATGACGGGGATGGCAAGAAAGTGAGGATTTTCTACGAGACGTACGGCCATGGAGACACGAAAGTACTCATGATAATGGGTGCGTGTATCGAAGGGCTTATGATAATGGGTGCGTGTATCGAAGGGCTTATGATAATGGGTGCGTGTATCGAAGGGCTTATGATAATGGGTGCGTGTATCGAAGGGCTTATGATTATGGGTGCGTGTATCGAAGGGCTTATGATAATGGGTGCGTGTATCGAAGTGCTTATGATAATGGGTCCGCTTGTATCACTTTCCGAAACTCTTTAAAGTGATCTTTTTCTCCTCACCCCCTCCATTCCCCTCCCTTTCGGGCCTCGCCTCTGGTCACGTTGCTTGGCGATTCTCCAGTGGAGGCTGTACTAACACCAGGTGTGGTGGGCACGGGTATTCCCATTCCCACCAACCACCAGGGATCACGTCCATTACCAGCTTGACCTGTTGCTTCTCCTCTATTCCTTCCCTCCCAGGCCTCGCCTCTAGCCATGCTGCGTGGCGGTACCTCTGGCGTTCACAGGTGTTCCCAGTGGGGAGGGGAGGTGTCTACTATCAACTTGATCCATCGTTTCTCCTTCCCGTCTCCCCTTTTTCCCCCTCTAATCCCTCCCTCTATTCCCTCCCTCCCAGGCCTCGCCTCTGGCCATGCTGCGTGGCGCTACCAGGTGGAGGCTCTGGCGTTCACAGGTGTTCCCAACGGGGAGCGGACGTGTCTGCTATCAACTAGTTCTGTCGCTTTTCCTTTCGCTCTTCCCGTTTACCTCCCTCTATTCCCTCCCTCCCAGGCCTCGCCTCTGGCCATGCTGCGTGGCGCTACCAGGTGGGGTGTATGCTCTGGCGGGCACGGGTGTTCCCAATGGTGGGAGAGACGCTAACTATCAACCTGATCCGTCGCTCTTCCTTCCCCTCTCCCCATTGTCCCCCTCTATTCCCCTCCCTGCCAGGCCTCGCCTCTGGCCATGCTGCGTGGCGCTACCAGGTGGATGCTCTTGCGGGCACGGGTGTTCCCAATGGTGGGGGGCGGCAGGAGGGGGCGGAGGGACGGGGGGAAGAGAAGGAGGAGAAGGGAAATGATGGGGGGAAGGAGAGAGGTGAAGAGGAGTTTGGTAATGGGGAGGGTTGTTGGGAGGAGAGCAGGGATGGGAAAGGAGGAGGGAAGATGGAAGGGGAAGGAGGAGCGGAGAGAGGAGTGAGCGAAGGGTGTGAGAGAGAGAGGGGGATGAAGGAAAGCCGAGGAGGTGAGGGGAGAGGAGAGGAAGAGAGAGGAGTGGCGAGAGGAGAGGAGGAGAGGGGAGAGGAGGCGAAGGGGGAAGGGGAGAGGGGGGAGGAGGAGGAGGGGAGCAGCGGGAGGAGGAGTGGGAGGGAGGTATGCGTGTTTGACAACCGGGGAGTGGGACACAGCTCGTGCCCCACCGACCCCAGCGAATACACGTGAGTAACACTCTGTGCTGTGATGGCTCTCTGTTCACGTGAGTGCTCCCTCGGAGGGAGGGTGGGTGGGATTGAGGTGTGCGTGTTTGACAACCGGGGAGTGGGACACAGCTCGTGCCCCACCGACCCCAGCAAATACACCTGAGTAACACTCTCTGTAGTAGCAGCTCGTTAGCAACAAGGATGTGAGGTGAGGTGAGGTGAGTTGCGGTGAGGTGGGGTGCGGTGCGGTGATGTTAGGTGAGGTGAGGTGTGCGTGTTCGACAACCGGGGAGTGGGACACAGCTTGTGCCCCACCGACCCCAGCGAATACACCTGAGTGCTCTGCTCTCTGTTCCACTCTGCAGCAGTGTGTACATGCTTGCGCTCTTATGAACTGGAGTCTGCTTTTGAGTCGACTCAAATGTCAACTCCCCACCCAGTACACGTGAGTGCTCTGCGCTCTGTTCCACTCTGCAGCAGCGAGTACTTTTGAGGCGCCTCAAAAGTCGTCTCATTACCCGCAATTTTTTAGGCGCCTCAAAAGTCGTGAGTGCTCTGCTCTCTGTTCCACCCTGCACCGGCGAGTACATTCTTGCGCTCTTACAATTCGGAGTTGAGAATAGGAAATGTTTGTTTTACGCTGTTTTTCCCCTCCTCCCCCACTCCCCTCCCCACCCCCCCTCCGTTTCAATTTGCACAGCACGGAGGTGATGGCAGCAGATGCATACGTATGTATAATCTACCCCCCCGCCCCTCTCTCCCCCCCCCCCCACTCCCCTTTTACCCCACAACAAGCCCGGACGTGATGGCAGCAGATGCACTGTTCCTAACCGAACATGCATGATGCATGTAGGTATGTATAATAATGTAACACCCTACCCCCCTCCCCCCGCTCACTCCCCTTTTACCTCCCAACTTGCACGGACGTGACGGCAGCAGATGCACTGTTCCCGGCAGATCAACCCGGCTGGACACATGTGATCCTTATCCTTGTAACATTCCGTTCTGTCTCCCGACTCTCCCCCATCTCCTGCCCTCCCCCCCAACAACCGCATCCCACCCACTGGCAGCACGGAGGTGATGGCAGCCGATGCACTGTTTCTGGCGGATCATCTCGGCTGGACTAGGTTCCACTTGGTTGGCCACTCCATGGGTCAGTTTCATCTCCCTGGATGGACCAGTTTCATCTCCCTGGGTGGGTTGGTTTCATTTCCCTGGGTCGGTTTCATCTCCATAAAATCAAATACCTGTCCATGTGCCGGTTTCATCTCCCTGGACCAGTTTCATTCCCATGTGTCAGTTTCATCTCCATAGGCTGGTTTCATGTCCATAGGTCGGTGTCATTTTCCTGGGTCAGTTTCATTTCCATGGGTCAGTTTCATGTCAATGTGTCAGTTCCATCTCCCTTGCACTCATCAGGATTACACTGCATAATCCACTTTCTTAATTTTCGCTTCCTACATTCGGATTCTCTTCTTTCCCTCCGTCCCTCCCTCCCTCTTTCCCCCCCTCCATCCTCCCCCGACCCATCACTGCAGGCGGCATGATAGCATGCAAGGTGGCAGCAGCGGCATCGCATCGAATCATCTCCCTTGCACTCATCAGCGTCAGCGGAGGCGGCTTCGACCTGCTCCCCCGGGTATGGTTGCCCCCCTCGCACACCCCCCAAACCCCTACTCACCCACCCACTCTAACGGTATGGCGTACCCCCCCTTCTTCCTCCCACGAGTGTAGTCGCAAGGTGGCAGCAGTGGCATCGCATCGAATCATCTCTCTTGCACTTATCAGAGTCAGTGGAGGCGGCTTCGACCTGCTCCCCCGTGCAGGGTCCTCCCTATCGCCTACGGCATGATGGTGTCCGCAAGTCATTCCATCCGAGTTGACTTTTGAGTCGACTCAAGAGTCACCTTATTGCCTCGCCTACCGCATGATGGTGTCCGCAAGTCATTCCATCCGAGTTGACTTTTGAGTCGACTCAAGAGTCACCTTATTGCCTCGCCTACCGCATGATGGTGTCCGCAAGTCATTCCATCCGAGTTGACTTTTGAGTCGACTCAAGAGTCACCTTATTGCCTCGCCTACCGCATGATGGTATCCGCAAGTCGTTTTCATTTGAGGAGCTTCCTCATGTCTCTCTCTGCCGTGCCCATCCTTCCCCTCCGCCTCCCTCTATTCTCCACATCCGAACATTGTTCTATCAGAGACGGCCCCTCTTAATCAAATGCTCCTGTCTCCTGTACCCCTTCTCTTCTCCCCTTCTCTTCTCCCCTTCTCTTCTCCCCTTCTCTTCTCCCCTTCGCTTCTCCCCGTCTCTTCCCGCCATCACACCAGCTGGACTCGCGAGTCTTCCCCATCGCGTACTGCGTGATGAACGCGTGAACCCCCAATCTCAGGGTGCAGGTTCTCATGCGTCTCAAAACTGTCTCCTGTGCCCCTCCTCCCACCCTTCTCTTCCTCCCGCCATCACCCCAGCTAGACTCCCGAGTCTTCCCCATCGCCTACTGCCTGATGAACGCGGAAACCCCGGAGTTATGTCGTCATGTTTCTGTCTGCCGCGCCTCCCGCCTTTCCCCCCTCTTGTCACCACCACCCGCCATCACCCCAGCTGGACTCGCGAGTCTTCTCCACTGCCTACTGCCTGATGAACGCTCGAACCCCAGAGCTGAGGCGCTTCCTGGACGCTCGTGTCTGCCATGCCCCCCTCCTCCCACCCCTCTCCCTTCATCATATCACCCCAGCTGGACTCGCGAGTCTTCTCCATCGCGTACCGCCTGCTGAACGCCCGAACACCAGAATCGAGGGCTCAGGTGGATCTTGACACGCACTTCTCGCAGGTGAGGTGGGGTGAGGCGAGGTGCGGTGAGGTGAGGTGCGGTGAGGTGAGGTGCGGTGAGGTGAGGTGCCTTTTGAAATGTCTCAAAAAATCCAGTCGAGGTGACTTTGAGTCCACACAGACGGCTACCAACCAAGCCCCTGTGCCCTGGAGCTGAGGTCTTAGGTGGATCTGAACACACTTCTTGCAGGTGAGGTGGTAGCTTCGTTCGACTTATTCAAATCCAAGCTGCCACATCTACTCGGGCTTTTGGTTTGGTCTACGCACACTTCTCCCAGGTGAGGTGGTAGAGCTTTGACTTAATGCAGTATGCGTCCGATCAAGCCTCTGGGCCTTCAAATTCAAACCAACAGCCCGAGTAGATGTGAACACGCGCTTTCCCCAGGTGCGCACTTTCATGGGGCGCCGCGAACATTGTCCGTACATCGAGCCTCCTCAAAGATCGCCCTCTCTCTCTCTTGCTCTCTGCTTGCCTCTCGGGTCTACCTCTCTGCCTGCCAGGAGTACATGGGGGGGGGGAAACGGATGCAGGCAGTGGCTTGTCATGAAGAGGAAGCACAAAGGCGCCTCTCAAGCATTGCCTCAAGCATTTCCCAAAAAAGTTGCTCAAAGATCGCCCTCTCTCCCTTGCTCTCTACTTGCCTTCTCCTGCCTCTTCCCTTCTGCCTGCCAGGAGTACATGGAGGAAACGGATGCAGACAGTGGCATGTCATGGAGAGAAGCTCTGCACATGGTATGGTATGGCTGTGGTGTGGTGTGTTGTTGTTGTGAGGTGTGGTGGGTGCTGGATTGTGAGTTGGCTTATGATTCATCTTAAAAGGAACGGATGCAGGCAGTGGCATGTCACGGAGAGAAGCTCTGCACATGGTATGGCTGTGGTGTGGTGTGTTGTTTGTGAGCTCTGGTATGCACTGGCTGCACTGGAATGCACTGGGTATGGTATGGCATGGACAAGCTAAGGTGAGCACACGTATGTAAGGTATTCCTGCCCTTGCCATACCACCATCACTTCTCTTCCCATGGCCCCCATCCCTTCTCTTCCCATCCTCCCATCCCATCCCATCCCACCATCCCTTCTCTTCCGAATCCCCCAACCCCCCATTTTCTATCCCAGTCCAACAGGAGTATGTGCGCACCATCCGCCATGCAGAAACCCCATGGGGCGGCGAATGGACATCTGAACCGTGATTGCATGCTGGACGCCCTCTCTCACTCAACTGCTGGACCCACTCCCTCACACGCCCCCTTTCTATTCCCACCTCCCATCACCTTTTCTTCTCCGGTCAGTGCCATCCGCCATGCAGGCACCCCATGGGGCGAATGGACATCTGAATGCATGCTGGACGCACTCCCTCACTCACCATCCTCCACCTTCCATGACCCCACCCCACCCAACCCCCCATCCTCCTCAGGAGCATGTGCGCGAGCGAGCAGTCAGCGCCAGCTGCCATGCAACACCCCACAGAGAGAGCAGGCATCTGACCTGAATGCATGCTGACGTCCTCCCTCAACTGCTGAACACACTCCCCCCCACTCCTTCACTCCCCATCTTCCTCAGGAGTATGTGCGCGAGCTGTCGGTGCCATCCGCCCCATGCCGACACCACACGGGGCGAGTGGGCATCTGAATGCGTGCTGGACTCACTCACTCACTCCCTCACTCTCTCGCATGCCATGTGGGTCCTCCCCTTCCCACCCCCCTGCTTTCATCGAACAGGAGTATGTGCGCGAGCTATCAGCACCGTCCGCCATGCAGACACCCCACAAGGCGAATGGGCACCTGAACGCATGCTGGACCCACTCCCTCGCTCTCCCACATGCCCCAATCTGTTTTTTGAGAATTTTCAAAAAAACAGATTCAGCATACAATTACCCACTTCCTCACTCTCCCACATGCCCGTCTTGTCACCCGCAGGAGTATGTGCGCGAGCTATCAGCACCGTCCGCCATGCAGACACCCCACGGGGCGAATGGGCACCTCAACGCATGCTGGACGCACTCCCTCACTCCCCACGATGTGGATGAGATCTGCAGCGCCCACATCCCCACCGCCGTCATTCATGGCAGGTACATCCTGTCTTCCCTCTCTTTCCTTGTCGCCTTTTGAGTCGACTCAACTGACTTTTGAGTCAACTCAACTGACTTTTGAGTCGACTCAACTGACTTTTGAGTCGACTCAAAAGTCATTCATGGCAGGTACTTCCTGTCTTCCCTCTCTTCCCTTGTCCCCTCTTCTTTCTTCTCTCTTCCATCTACTCTTTTGTCCTTCCTGTCTTATTCTCCCTCTTCCCTCTTCATTTTTTACAAGTGGATACATAGTCACACATGCTTCACCCCCACCACCCAACTCCCCCTTGAACCTCCACTCTGCCCCCGTCTTCAGGGATGACGTCATTGCTCACATCTCATTGGGCGAAAGGGTCGCTAGAAGTCTAGGGAGGGTGGCGCGCTTCTTGCCTCTCATGGGAGCGCACATGGTGCTGCGGGAGAGAGCACATGAGGTGAGGGAGAGAGGGAGCAAATGAGCTATGGCTACACGAGGTGAAGGAGAAAGCACATGAGGTGTGTCAATAGGGAGGGTGGCGCGCTTCTTGCCTCTCATGGGAGCGCACATGGTGCTGCGGGAACGAGCACACGAGGTGTGTTTAAAGGTGGTGAGAGCACATGAGGTGTGTTAAAAGGTAGTGAGAGCACATGAGGTGTGTTAAAAGGTAGTGAGAGCACATGAGGTGTGTTAAAAGGTGGTGAGAGCACATGAGGTGTGTTAAAAGGTGGTGAGAGCACATGAGGTGTGTCAAAAGGTGGTGAGAGCACATGAGGTGTGTTAAAAGGTAGTGAGAGTACATGAGGTGTGTTAAAAGGTAGTGAGAGTACATGAGGTGTGTCAAAAGGTGGTGAGAGCACATGAGGTGTGTCAAAAGGTGGCGAGAGCACATGAGGTGTATTAAAAGGTGGTGGGAGCACATGAGGTGTGTTAAAAGGTGGTGAGAGCACATGAGGTGTATTAAAAGGTGGTGGGAGCACATGAGGTGTGTTAAAAGGTGGTGAGAGCACCTGAGGTGTGTTAAAAGGAGGTGAGGGAGAGATTACATGAGAGGACATGAGGTGTGTTAGTAGAGAGGGTGGCACGCTTCCTGCCTCTCATGGGAGCACACATAGTGATGCGGGAGAGGGCGCATGAGGTGAGGGGGAGAGAGAGAGCAGGTGGTGAGGGAGAGAGAGAGCAGGTGGTGAGGGAGAGAGAGAGCAGATGGTGAGGGAGAGAGAGAGCAGGTGGTGAGGGAGAGAGAGCAGGTGGTGAGGGAGAGAGAGCAGGTGGTGAGGGAGAGAGAGAGCAGGTGGTGAGGGAGAGAGAGAGCAGGTGGTGAGGGAGAGAGAGAGCAGGTGGTGAGGGAGAGAGAGAGCAGGTGGTGAGGGAGAGAGAGCAGGTGGTGAGGGAGAGAGAGAGCAGGTGGTGAGGGAGAGAGAGAGCAGGTGGTGAGGGAGAGAGAGAGCAGGTGGTGAGGGAGAGAGAGAGCAGGTGGTGAGGGAGAGAGAGAGCAGGTGGTGATGGAGAGAGGCAGGTGGTGAGGGAGAGAGAGAGAGCAGGTGGTGAGGGAGAGAGGCAGGTGGTGAGGGAGAGAGAGAGAGCAGGTGGTGAGGGAGAGAGGCAGGTGGTGAGGGAGAGAGAGAGAGCAGGTGGTGAGGGAGAGAGAGAGCAGGTGGTGAGGGAGAGAGAGAGCAGGTGGTGAGGGAGAGAGAGAGCAGGTGGTGATGGAGAGAGGCAGGTGGTGAGGGAGAGAGAGAGAGCAGGTGGTGAGGGAGAGAGGCAGGTGGTGAGGGAGAGAGAGAGAGCAGGTGGTGAGGGAGAGAGGCAGGTGGTGAGGGAGAGAGAGAGAGCAGGTGGTGAGGGAGAGAGGCAGGTGGTGAGGGAGAGAGAGAGAGCAGGTGGTGAGGGAGAGAGAGGCAGGTGGTGAGGGAGAGGGCGCACGAGGTGTCTTGATAGGTGGACGAGAGTGATGGGCAGACAAGAGTCGACTTTCTCCCCTCTCTTCCCCACCACAGGTGAACGCGTGTCTGGCTGTGCTGATGGAGGTGGCAGAGAGGAGAGTACCGGTGGGTGGAGGAGTGGGTGGAGAGCTACACGCATTGAGGTGTATTTTGAGGCACCTCAAAATACAGGCATTGCCCATTCAATCTTCTTCTTCCTTTCCTGTCCCCTCCGTGCCAGCAACAAGTGAACGCGTGTCTGGCTGTGCTGATGGAGGTGGCAGAGAGGAGAGTACCAGTGGAGAAGTGGGTGAAGCCTTATTACAGGGACCACAGGCCGTCTTTCCTCATTGAAACTCCTTTCATTTTCCTTCCCCACCTCAGGCGAACGCGTGTCTGGCTGTGCTGATGGAGGTTGCAGAGAGGAGGGTGATGGTGGAGGAGAGGTGATGGGTGGACAGGATTTTTTCACCTCATTGACAGTCTCTTTATCCTCTCTCCTCCCCACCACAGGTGAATGCGTGTCTCGATGTGCTGATGGAGGTGGCTGAGAGGAGAGTACCGGTGGAGGAGTGGGTGGAGAGCTACAGAGACGACAGACTGCCTGCTCCTGCCACGTGGCAGAATGAGATTGGACGTAGCAGCTCCCAAGGTAGGTGGTGGTGTTACCTGACTGCTTTTCTTTTCACTTTCTGGCACATATTCTGTCACATGCACCGGTAGTTGTATGTGTAGAGAGGGCATTTTTGAGACGTCTCAAAAATACACCCTCTACACGTACCTGACTGCCTTTCTTTTCACTGTCTGGCACATATTCTGTTGCATGCACCTGTAGTTGAATGTTCATATGAGTACACTATAGACCTACATGCATCAACATGCCAAAACGCATGCTCATGCATGCAGTGAATTGCATCTTATGCATGCTCAAATGTCTACGGTACATGACATGGTGTGCTCATTTCGGCACCAATTTTTCAGTTTGCTTTTTGCGGTTCAAAATTCCTGGGCTTTTGAAGCACCTCGAAATCCACACGAGGGCTCGTACATCCAGTGCACATGACCTGAGGTGCTGCTTCCCACACTTATTTGCCGTTCGCTTCGCCTTCCCTCTACCTGCCCTCCCTCCCCCCCCCCTCCTCTCTTCAGACTTCATGTACCCATTTTTCCAGTTCCCCTCTCAGTGGTTTCAGCCTGAAACGTGGACGCTGTTTAGCAGAGCATGGGCGTGACAGGGCTTTTGCTGCTACAGAGGGAACTTTACACTAATTCAATCTATGCCTTTTCTGACTACTGTGCGGGCAAAGCCACATATGCTCTGCCGTGTGTGGTCTCATTATTATTTTGTAAGAGGTTTGGAACCAAACTGTTTGCTACACTGTCACCTACCAGTGCCTGTGCCCCTCCAGCTGTTGTTTCTCTGGCAGGCCAAAGCCAGAAGGATCGTAAGAAGCAATACATGCTATGTGGTAGCTGCATAGAGGTGCTCTTTTAATGAAAAAATGGGCTTTCTGAGTATCGTTTCAAAGTTTTTGCAAAAAATTACCTAATGTGCAATCGCCAAAACGCTGCATATTTGCAGCGAATACATGCGTTTTTTTATAGCTGAACGATGTATACGTGAATATCGGTGTGTACCATCGATACGTTTCTCGATTCTTCGATAACGAACATTTCTATAAAGCGCATGTTCAGCAAATTCCAAATTCCTGCTTGTCCTCGAGCTTGTCCCACCTTGTCCTCCCCTTCTTCACACGAGCCAAAGCTGGAGATTAGGGTTTAGGCCTTCAGTTTCGAGCTCATTGCTAACCTCGCTTGTGTGTGTGGGATTCTGCTCGAGTCCTTTCGTAAAGCTCGCTTCCAGTTCGGTTCCGCCTGGCTTCCACGCCCTAGTCGCATAAAAGCTTCATTTCTGTTCCCGGAGTTCCACGCACCCGGCGATTAGCGTTCTGTTCTGCAGTTTACACGTGCGATCGGCGTTGGAAGTACCAGGATCTCTGACCTGGAATAATTAGTGGAAAGCCACTTGCCAGCTGAAAACGATCGCGGATCGACGTTTTTGGCGGCGCAGTTACTGGCGTGCGGATAAAGTTTCTGGTTGTGGTTAGCCGGAAGCGCCAGTAGTCGCAACGGCGTTACATCTTCTCGTTGTGGTCAGCTTCAGAAGCCGCCGTGCGGCAAGGCGAGCATCTGAGTGACGTAACGGTCTGCCTGCTGAACGATTCGACCTTCAAATATTTAGATTCGGCTACTCGTCTGTCTCTTACGCGAAATTTGGATACTGCTGGATAGGAACGTCGTCGATTAGGAAGGAAAAAGGAAACCGACTTGGCCGTCGTAGGGTGTCGTCAACCGTCGTTGACCGCGTTAACCGTTGTTAACCGTCGTTGACCGTTACCGGCAGCCATGGGGACCATCACGCAGAAGATCAAAGACATTGAAGATGAGGTGCGTGTTTGCTCTGCATTGATGCCTCTTATATCGAGGACATGTGGATCTTGGGATTCGCTTCACACCGAGATTCAAGAGCTTTGAATGAGAGAATTAGTAGTGATTGGACGTAACGGAAGGTGAATGAAGCATTGGAGCGGGTGGATGCAAAATGTCCTTGTGCGCGAGGTTACGAGTACGTTGATAAGTACATGCATGCTATGTTATATGGTACTAAGAATCTCTCTCCGTGTGCGTGTGTACTCGTGTGCTCGTACGCTCCTGTGCTCTCACACTTGCAGATGGCTCGCACGCAGAAGAACAAGGCAACAGCACACCACTTGGGCCTGCTCAAGGTGAGCTGTTATCCTTTTCGGGGCTTCTAACAAGGAGTATAGTTTCAGATTTACCAGTTGGCGCTACAAGGCAACATCACATCACTGTGCTGCTCCCCGTGTTTCGAAGTAATCTCCGTTTTGCCCTCTTTCCCCCTCGTTTTCTTTCCAACCCTTCAGCGGTAGTGAAAATAGAAAACATAATTTCAACCATCTTTCCGTCCTCCTCATCTTCCTCTTCCCTCATCACTGCAGGCCAAGCTGGCGAAGCTTCGACGAGAGATCCTCACGCCTTCAGGCGGCAAGGGAGGCGGAGCAGGAGAGGGCTTTGACGTGACGAAAAGTGGTGACTCGAGAGTTGGGCTTGTGGGTTTCCCGTCAGTTGGGAAGTCGACGCTTTTAAACAAGCTGACAGGCACATTCTCTGAGGTAGGCCGTCATTCAAGCACTGACATAGAAGGCTTCGGCGTGACAAAGAGTGGTGACTCCGAGTGGGGCTCGTGGCTTTCCCGTGAGTGGGGATGTGGACCATTTTGAACAAACTAACGGGCACATTCTTGGAGGTAGGCTGCTGCTGCTGCTGCTGCTGCTGATGCATCCATTCACCTCCTGCTACTTGGTTGCGACTAATGCCTGCCACATCACCTTCCGCCTGCATGCAGGTGGCATCGTACGAGTTCACAACGCTCACGTGCATTCCGGGTGTGATTCGATACCGAGGGGCCAAGATCCAGGTGCGAGCTGGAATGCAGTGTAGTGCAGGGGAAAGTGCCATTGAACGTGCTGTTTAGTCTTACGATAGCCATGCGCGTTTGGAACTAGCTTTTCCCGCTCTATTGACGCTCAACCCCCGTACATTTCCTCCTCTGCACTCATCATGCTGCTTCCACCCTTTTTTTTTTCGTGCCTGTGTGTGTGGCATGACATGGCTGGCTGGCAGCTGCTGGATTTACCGGGAATCATTGAGGGAGCCAAGGACGGCAAGGGGCGAGGCAGGCAGGTGAGAGGGGGAAGGAGGGGGAAGGAGGGGGAAGGAGGGGGAAGGAGGGGGAAGGAGGGGGAAGGAGGGGGAAGGAGAGCCGCTCCTTCCTCCCTCTTCCTTCCTAAACTCGTTATGGCCTGCACTCCTCTTCCTCCACTCCTCGTCTCCCCCATCACGCTCACCCGTTTCTCTTGTGCAATATATGTGTGCTCTCTCATGTGCATCCTCACATCTCTCGCCTTGCCACTGCACCAACCTCTCGCACCTCCGCTCCCCTGTGGTGCATGCATACCATCCCATCAGGTCATCTCGATCGCCCGCACGTGCAACTGCATTGTGATCGTGCTGGATGCCATCAAGCCCATCACGCACAAGAGTCTGAATGAGACAGGGATTGAGATGCCTCACACCATCCCCTCGCATCCCCCTCCCTCTCTGCTGCTGCCACCCCATCAGGTCATCTCGACCGCCCGCACGTGCAACTGCATTGTGATTGTGTTGGATGCCATCAAGCCCATCACACCCTCCCCTCCGCTACCTCTCTCCGTCCCTCTCCTCCCGTCGCCCCCACGTCCCATCAGGTCATCTCGACCGCTCGCACGTGTAACTGCATCGTGATTGTACTGGACGCCATTAAGCCCATCACACACAAGAGACTGATCGAGAAGGAGCTTGAGGGCTTTGGTATCAGGTGGGTTGCGGTGTGGTGCGGTGCGGTGCGCCGCTGTGCGAGCCAACGATGGTGAAGGCAGGTTCAGTCGAGTCGGCATTGTGATTGTCCTGGACGCCATCAATCGGCCCACGTCAAGAGTCACCTCGTTTTGAGCCGACTCAAAAATCAATCGGCCCATTATGCACAAGAGCTTGAAGGGTTTTGCATCAGGTGCATGTGTTGTGGTGCTGTGGTGCATGTGTTGTGGTGCTGTGGTGCATGTGTTGTGGTGCTGTGGTTGTAGTACAAGCTGGTTGAGTTGAGTCGGCATTGTGATTGTGCTGGACGCCATCAATCGGCCCATCACACACAAGAGGGACGGAGAGAGGTAGCGGAGTACACACACAAGCGACTCATTGAGAAGGAGCTCGAAGGGTTTGGCATCAGGTGCGTGTGTTTGTTTGTTGAGTTAGTCATGTCTGCTTAATGGTTGTTGTTCGTCCTCTATTGTGATTGTGTTCGACGCCATCAAGCCCATCACGCTCAAGAGACTTATTGTAAAAGAGCTTGAAGAGCTGGACCTGGACACGGTCAAGGCGGTGTGCTCCGAGTACCGCATCCACAATGCCCTTACTCACCCTCCTTCCTTTCCCTCCCTCCTCGCCCTCCCCTCTTCCCTCCCTTTCCCCTTGCCCTCCTCCCTCCCTTTCTCTCCTCTACCCCTCTCCCTCCTCCCTCCTTCGCTCTTCTCCCTCCCAGGCTGAACAAGGAACCTCCAAACCTGACGTTCAGGAGGAAGGACAAGGGCGGCATCAGCATCACAGCAGCTTGCAGCGTCACCAATCTAGACCTCGACACAGTCAAGGCCGTGTGCTCCGAGTACCGCATTTACGCCTCCCTCACTCAACCTTCTTCCTTTCCCTCCCTCCTCTCCCTCTCCTCCTCCCTCCCCTTCTTCGTCCCCTTCGTCCCCCTCTCTCTCCCTCCCTCACTCCCTCCTCTTCTCCCTCCCAGGCTGAACAAGGAGCCTCCAAACCTGACCTTTAGGAGGAAGGACAAGGGCGGCATCAGCATCACAGCAGCGTGCAGCGTCACCAACCTGGACCTCGACACGGTCAAGGCCGTGTGCTCCGAGTACCGCATCCACCCCACCCCACCCTCACCCCCTCCCTCCCGCCCCCTCCTCTCCCTCCGCTCCTCCCTCCCTGTCTCCCCTCCCTTCTCCCTCGCCCTCTCCCTCCCGTTTCTCGATGGGGGGTGCCGTTTCCCCCCCTGGCAGGCTGAACAAGGAGGCGCCGAACCTCACCTTCCGGAGAAAGGACAAGGGCGGTATCAGCATCACAGCAGCTTGCAGCGTCACCAACCTGGACCTCGACACGGTCAAGGCCGTGTGCTCCGAGTACCGCATTCGCCCCACCCTCACCCCCTCCCTCCCACCCCTCCTCTCCCTCCCCTCCTCCTTCCTCCTCTCCCTCCGTTTCTCCCTCCCATTTTTCGACGGGGGGTCTTGTTTTTCACCTCTCCCAGGCTGAACAAGGAGCCTCCAAACCTGACCTTCCGGAGAAAGGACAAGGGCGGCATCAGCATCACAGCAGCGTGCAGCGTCACCAATCTAGACCTCGACACGGTGAAGGCGGTGTGCTCGGAGTACCGCATCCACAACGCGGACGTGCATCTGCGATACGATGCGACGGTGGACGACCTGATCGACGTGATTGAGGGCAGCCGCGTGTACATCCCGTGTGTGTACGCTGTCAATAAGGTGGACCAGATCACGCTGGAGGAGCTGGAGGTGCTGGATAAGCTTCCCCATTACTGCCCTGTCAGGTACTGCTACTGCCCTGTCAGGTACTGCTACTGCCCTGTCAGGTACTGCTACTGTGTGTGAAGGCGAGGGAGCAGCTTATAGAGGGTATAATGTCGAGCACAGCACTACGGCGAGTTGACAGCGCTACGGCGAGCGATTACGGCTTGAGCCTTGAGGTGTTGGATAAGCTGCTGGATTAGCTGCTGGATAAGCTGCTGGATAAGCTGCTGCACCACTGCGAGCGATTAATCTTTGAGCCTTGAGGTGTTGTGTTGGATAAGCTTGGAGTGGAATCTAGACGGGTTACTCGACAAGACTCGGGAGTACCTTGATCTCGTGCGAGTGTACACCAAGCCAAGGGGGGCAATCCGGTCCGGACTACGAGGTTCCAGACCCTCTCACATGCTCACCGCTTGCCTCCTTGTGAGCGATTTTTGAAAATTTTCAAAAATCGCTCACAAGGTTCCAGACCCTCCCACAAGCTCACTGCTTGCCTCCTCTTTTCTCTGTGGTTTGTTGAACACACTTGGCATGCAGCGCTCATCTGGAGTGGAATCTGGACGGGTTACTGGAGAAGATCTGGGAGTACCTTGACCTCGTGCGCGTGTACACCAAGCCCAGAGGAGCAAATCCAGAGAGGTTGAAACGTGTGCTTGTGCGCTCTCTTCCCTGCATGATCCCGCAGTGCTCACCTGGAGTGGAACCTGGATGGGTTGCTCGAGAAGATCTGGGAGTACCTTGACCTCGTGCGGGTGTACACGAAGCCACGGGGGGCGACTCCAGGGCGAAAAGACATGTGCACATACCTTTCTTCCCTGCGTGTTCTCTCAGTGCCCACTTGGAGTGGAACCTGGATGGCTTACTGGAGAAGATCTGGGAGTACCTGGACCTTGTTCGAGTGTACACCAAGCCGAGGGGAGCGAATCCGGACTATGAGGATCCGGTGATTCTGTCGCGTGCTCTCACCACTGGTTCCCTCCCTTCTCTGTGGCTGGCGATTCAACATCCATGCAGTGCCCACTTGGAGTGGAATCTGGATGGCTTACTGGAGAAGATCTGGGAGTATCTTGACCTCGTGCGGGTGTACACGAAGCCACGGGGGGCGAATCCGGACTACGAGGATCCCGTGATTCTGTCGGGCAAGTCGGTGACGGTGGATGACTTCTGCAACCGCATCCACAAGGACATGTCCAAGCAGTTCAAATAGTGAGTCGGGCAGTTCAATTAGTGGGTCGGGCAGCCTGAAATATTGAGTCGGGCAGCCTGAAATGCTGGGTCGGGCAGGGTGGACTTGCCAGTCAGGCAGCGTGAAACAGGGAGTTGGGCAGGTTGAAACAGTGGCTTCTCACGGGATAGTGGGGAGGGGAGGGGAAGGGGGGTAGGTGGGGGAAGAATGAATCCGGACTACGAGGATCCGGAGATTCTGTCGGGCAAGTCGGTGACAGTGGATGACTTCTGCAACCGCATTCACAAGGACATGTCCAAGCAGTTCAAATAGTGAGTCGGGCAGCCTGAAAGGATGGATTGGGCAGCCTAAAAAATACTTGCCCAGGCAGGGTAAACTGGCAATACGGGCAGCGTGAAACAGTGAATCGGGCAGGCTGAAACAGTGGCTTGTAGCGGAGAGGGGAAGGGGGTAGGCGAGGGGAGCCAATCCGGACTACGAGGATCCGGTGATTCTGTCGGGCAAGTCGGCGAGGGTTGATGATTTCCGCAACTGCATCCACAAGAACATGTCCAAGCAGTTCAAATAGTGAGTCGGGCAGCTCAAATAGTGAATCGGGCAGTTCAAATATGAGTCGGCCAGTTAAATAGTGGGTCGAGCAATTCAGATAGTGAGAACAGTTCAAATACTGAGCTGGGCCGTCTGAAATCGTGAGTTGGGCAGCTCAAATATTGAGCTGGGCAGTTCAATCTGTGAGTCGAGCAGTTCAGATAGTGAGTTGGGCAGTGCAAATAGTGAGTCGGGCAGGTCAAGTAATGAGTCGGGCAGTTCAAGTGAGTCGAGCAGCTCAAATAGTGAGTCGTATCCGCATAGATATTATTAAACAATGCTCTGGTGTGGGGGTGCGCTGCCAAGCTATTGTTGAACCCCCTCTTGCTTGTTCCTCCTTTCCCCCTCCCTCTCGTTTGTGTCCCTCTCTACCCACCAGTGCTCTCGTGTGGGGGTCCAGTGCCAAGCACAAGCCGCAACGAGTAGGCAAGGTGAGTGCTCACTGTCAGGTTGTAGATTTCTCTTCCTCGTGTATCCTGCATGTATGCTAGTCTCTAGAGATGGGTACCCAAATTCCGTTGGGTGTACTACAACTTCACCCTACTTAAAATTTTGAGGCGGCTAAAAAATTGCGGGTAGCGAGACGACTTTTAAGGCGCCTCAAAACAATTTCTGTTGGGTGTACAATACAACTTCACCCTACTTGGAATTGAAAATCCAACCTTGGCCCGCTCATTTGGTCTTCAAGGTTGGGTTGGGAGATTATTGGAGCTTCAGAATTCTTTGCCCATCATACCCCTTCACTGCTCGCGTCGCACCCCCCATACATCCGGAGGATGTGGCAGGCTGGTTTTGAGGCGCCTCTAAACTAGACCTCCCAGCCCCCATACATACATCCGGAGGATGTGGCAGGCTGGCTGGGCTGAAGCCTGAAGGTCGTGAAGAAGGTGTGCAAGGTGGCCTGAAAAACACGTAACCTTTCCCACCTCCTCCCCGCCCTCCCCCCTCTCTTTCCCCATACCCCTCTCACCCCTTACACAACAGGAGCACGAATTGGAGGATGAGGATGTTGTGCAGATTGTGAAGAAGGTGTGAGGAAAAACGTGCCCGGATGCCTGCCTGCACTTGTGAGGGCATGTTCTGGGGAAAAGAGAATGCCAACTGCTGTCACCAAGGGTCAACTGCCAGGGTACCTACTGTCCCGGTCAACTGTCGAGGTCAACTGCTGTGCAGTGCAGGTTCCACACGAATGTGCTTCTTTCAGTTCTTGTTGCTGCTGTGACACTTACGAATGCTCTCAAGGGCTTCAATATCTCTGTGGCACTGGCTCGAGTCGAGATGGCCACAGCAAGGCTGAGTTGGGGAGTGGCATCGTTTTGCGGCTAGCTGGGTTTGAGAACTTTTAGGGAACAAGCTGAGGTTGTGGAGGTGGTGGAGTGGAGTCTAGCTTCTGAGGCGATTAAAAACAGAAACAGGGTCGTTCGACGCGTGATTGGTTGGTTGGTGGTATGGTCTGGTCTGTTCACTGCTGTTGGCAAACAATGCTGATTGCTGTTGAAACGTTGGAATGTTCTGGCTTGTTTGAAAAAGGTGTAACGCCTTCAAGTACACTGCTTGGCTGTTGCTTATGCATGTGAAGTTTGGGATGAACTCACTGGTTATCAAACAGGCTGTTAACTACTGCCCACACATTTGAAATAAGGGCCACTGTACCAGTATCGTTGTGTGGAGTCCACTCAAAACAGTGTTCTTGAGAATGTGAATCTGTAAATACCGTATCTCCTTTTGGAAATTCTCTTTGGGACTCTTCTAGTGGAACTCTTCTGAAACTTTTGTTACAGAAATACAGTGTATCACAAACACCTCATGTCTGAACCACACCACACCATTTGTTGTACCCTCCATCCCATTACAATTTAAAGCCAGCAGCTAAAATAGTGACCCCCCCTTCTTGTTGGGTCCAACTTGAAAACGGAAATTTTGGGAAAGTTGGAAGTTACGGTACATGTGAGATTTTCTTTCAACACCAGAGTTTGCCTCAAAGTGAAGGGAGAACGATTGGATCATATTTATGAACTCTGATTGGTGACAAACTTTCTCGCACATATATGTGCGATTTTGGCGCAAGGCTGCACGACGTGCAAAGCTTCCAATCGTTCCAGTGAATGTACCAGAAGCTTTGCGTGACGCAACGACACAAGCAGTTCCGACAACCCACACACATGCAACGAGAATGTTTAGGTGATCCAGAGCTAGTCGACCTGTGAGACCAGTGCAGCGAAGGACCTGCGGCCTGCTCTTTTAGAATAATATTAACAAGGGGAGGGGAGGGGACGGGACGGTAGTGAGGAATAACGACGGGAAAGATCAAGGGCGAGAGGAATAAGGACGGGAATGGAAGCGGAGATGGGAAGAGCGACGTTAGGGGAGCGGAGAGAGGAAGAAAGACGGGAGGGGAGCGGAGACACCTGTCAAAATGACATAGATGTTGGTTGGGGTACATATAACAAACCCTAACTTCTTGTCAAATGTTGTAGCCTGTAGTGAGGTTTGTCTTAGGGGGTACAGAAGTTAGGGTTTGTCATATGTACCCCAACCAACATCAATGCAACACTCATTCCTCATTCTGACATGGTATCAGCTAGGTTAGGATCCTGTGGGATCCCGTTCCTCCGTTCTCCGTTCGTACCTCCCGAGCCTGATCCTACCTCTCGTTCGTACCAGTTTCGTAGTTACCGCGCCTAGTACCGAGCCTAGCGTCATCTCCCCCGTCGCGTCACGCCTGTTCCCCCCCCGTCGCGTCACGCCCGTTCCCCCCTGTCACGTCGCGCCCGTTCCCCCCGTCGCGTCGCGCCCGTTCCCCCCGTCGCGTCGCGCCCGTTCCCCCTGTCGCGTCGCGCCCGTTCCCCCCCGTCGCGTCGCGCCCGTTCCCCCCCGTCGCGTCGCGCCTGCCTGTTACCCCCCCCCGTCCCGTCGCCCTGTCCCGTCGCGTCGCCCTGTCCCGTCGCCCTGTCCCGTCGCCCTGTCCCGTCGCGTCGCCCTGTCCTGTCGCGTCGCCCTGCCCTGTCCCGTCGCGTCGCCCTGCCCTGTCCCGTCGCCCTGTCCCGTCGCGTCGCCCTACCCCGTCGCGTCGCCCTGCCCTGTCCCGTCGCCCTGCTCCGTTGCGCCGCCCTGCCCCGTCGCGTCGCCCTGTCCCGTCGCGTCGCCCTGCCCCGTCGCGTCGCCCTGACCTTTCCCCCGTCGCGTCGCCCTCCCTAGGCCCTGGCCTGTCGCCCTTCCTAGGCCCTGGCCCGTCGCCCTACCCTAGGCCCTGGCCCGTTGCCCTACCCTACGTCTTGGCCCGTCGTCCTAGCCCACTCTTCCGCTGCGACTGAGTCCTCTTCCCCCCCCGGTTGTTACTCGCCTGTTCGTTCTCACTATGGCGACTCCGCGAGTTCTTCGTTTCGACGCCGACGGTAGACCCCTTGACTTTTCCGTCTGGCTTCTTCGCGCTCGTCGTCTGTTAGAGAGTCAGGTCCAGGGGGGCGAGACCCTCTGGTCACACGCTACTGGTGACCTCCCCGAGCCCCCCGAGCCTACAACTTTAGGCCCTGCTCCTGACGATGCTGCTACGGCTCGCTTTGCCCGTCAGCGCGCTGACCGGACGGCTTGGACGTCGCGTGACGCTGCGGCCTGCATCGCACTCAGCAGCCTCCTCCCTGAGTCCGAGGAGGTCCACTTTACTCAGGTTCGCACCGCTGCTGCGTACCTCACTGCGATTAAGGCCCGCTACTCTACTCCCGCTACTGTCTCTCTCGGCCGTCTTTTCCTCCCGTTCCTGTTTCCTGATCTTGCCTCGTTTGAGCACTCTGCTGACTTGATCGCTCACCTCCGCTCGCTTGACGCTAGTTACCGCGCTGCTTGCACTGAGGCACAGCTTGCACTGCTTCCTCCCCCCATGGCGATTACTGTCTATTTCATCGCCACTAGCCTCCCTGACCGCCTTGCCTCCGTTCGTGACGCGCTTCTGCTGAAGCACCCTAGTGAGCTGACTATCGAGGTCCTTGAGTCTGCACTCAAGGATGTCGAGAGCAACCTTCGTTCGGTAGCTGCCGCCTCTGGTACTGTATCCCCCCCACTCTTCCACGGGTGCACAGTCCCGCAGTTACCCACCTTCACTGCCTCTCTTGCCACTGCCGCTACTGACGCGACTGCGGCTGCTGTTACGACTGCGTCGCGGTCCCGCGGCAGGGGGGGCAAGAAAGGTGGTTCCGGTGGAGGTGGAGGCGGAGGTAGCGGAGGTAGTGGGGGTGCTGTTGCGACTGGCGGTGGTGGGAGTGCAGTGTCTGGAGAGACCCCTCGTGCAGCGGCCGGTGACTCCACTGCACCTGCTGGTGGCAGCGACCCTCGAGCTCGTCAGTCGCCTCCTGTACTGTCGGCCCCGCTAGGTGGAGCAGCGGCGTGGTACCAGGCTCAGCGTCAGCAGCACCTTCAGCAGCAGCAGCAGCCCCTTTCCTCCCAGCAGCCTCAGCAGCAGCAGCGTCAGCAGCTGGCTCCGGGGTCGGGGCTGCGTCAGCCCCAGCGCGGTGCTGCTTACCCTCCCTGCCCCTACCAGGTTCAGACAGGTCCTCGTCGGGGCCACCCTTGTGGCCGCTTTCACCCCCCTGGTCAGTGCTTTGCTCAGCTCACTGACACGGTCCGGTTGACCTACGGGGTTGGCGGTCCTGCTCCTGACTGGCTTCCTCTGGTTCAGCGCTACGGCTCCGCTCTGTGGGGCATGTCTGCTGAGCAGTTAGTTGATCTGATTAGTGCTCCTCATGCTATGTATGCTGTTGTTGACTCTAGTGTTTCTGACTCTGTTTACTCTGGTGTTGTTAGCTTAGGTGCTAGTCTTACTGAGTTGCCTGTTGCTAGTGTAGGTACTTGTGTAGACTCTAGACCAGCGACTACCTCAGAGGACGCTTCGCTGTCGTTCACACTGGACTCTGGAGCCTCCCACTGCTTCTTTCGGGACAGCACGACACTTACACCACTTCCTGCGCCTGTTTCTGTAGCGTTGGCTGATCCCACTACGGGACCAGTCACTGCACGTCACACTACCACTTTACCGTGTCCTGCTGCTCCCTCCGGGTCTCTCACTGGGTTTCACGTCCCCTCGTTCTCCCGGAACTTGGTGGGCGTGCGACCCCTCGTGAGCCAGCACGTGGGTGTGTGGTTTGAGCCTTCTGGAGAGACTGCGGTGTGTGTTGACGGAGACTCTTACCAGCCTCTTGCTACCTTTACTGCTGAGCCGGGCTCGGGTCTCTACACTCTTCACACTGGCCCGCGTGCGCCGCAGCAGCAGCCGCAGCAGCAGCAGCAGCCGCAGCCGCAGCAGCAGCAGCAGCAGCAGCACCAGCGGCCGCACCAGCAGCCCCCCCTACTGCCACTGCCCCCGGTTCCCCCCCCCGTTCGGGTCCCCGCGTCTCACCAGGTTGCTACGTCCCCCCAGGTGTCTGTGTCGTGTCAGGTTCCTCCGTCTGTTCCAGTCGCTGCGTCGTGCTCCTGCCGGTCGCTTGCCCACCCCACCGTTCTGTGGCACCACCGGATGGGGCACCCGTCCCTTCCACGTCTGCGCGCTATGTCTAGTCAGCGTCTTGTCCTAGGCCTCCCACGTGTCTTGCCGTCGCTGCCGCCTTCGCCTGCGCCGCCGTGTCGTCCCTGCGTCGAGGGTAGGCTGCGCGCCACCCCTCACTCCTCCTCCCTTCGTCCGGCCACCGAGCCTTTTGAGACGCTTCACTTGGACGTCTGGGGCCCAGCCCCTCGTCTAGGCCCTGAGCGTGAGCGTTACTTTCTGGTGGTCGTTGACGACTTCTCCCGCTACACCACAGTGTTCCCTCTGGCGAAGAAGTCTGAGGTGACTTCTACGCTGATCAGGTGGTTGCTCACCACCGAGGACACTCGTGGTCGTCGTGTCAGCTGTCTCCACTCCGACCGTGGGGGTGAGTTTCGCTCCGGCATTCTCGCTGGATTCTGTCGCGAGCAGGGCATTCGTCAGTCCTGGACGCTTCCAGAGTCCCCACAGCAGAATGGGGTTGCTGAGCGCCGCATAGGCCTGGTCATGGAGATCGCCCGCA